ACTGTACTCCTACTGAAGAGAAATCTTGGTCTTAAATAAATCAGACCCTGGAATGGACCAGGCCTTGTAGTTTTTGGGATCAATTTCATCTTATGTGCCAGCAATTTCAGCTAAGGTACAACCTATTAAGTTTCATTCCAGTATCTGGGTGCAAGGGTTTGCATGAGAAAATTCTCAAATTAGCAGGGAAGCTAGCCTGCTATCTCAAGTACAAACTTATAGACTTTGCAAAGGAATAAAGGTGAGATTAGATCTTTGACACACAGCTAGAGTAGTAGACCATGCAGGTTTCATATGGGTTCAAAAGATGTTTCTGCTTCAAGTGAGGCTTCTGACAGTCTACTGCCAAAGATGGAAGGATGACTGCATGATATGGAAAAAAAAACAGACAAACAACAGATTAGGAACACTACTTAATTTAAACTACTCATAAAGCATTTCTTAACCCTTACAATTCCAAAATCTCATTAGTAATTCTCCATACTGTCTGCTATACAATTCTTATGATGTTACATCACAGAATTTGGTGTTGGATCAACTAAAAATCCCCTACTTGATAATTTTCTCTATTCTCATCACTTGCCTGATTGATTTTGTATTGATATCGTAAAGGTTAAAATATGATAGCCTTTTCAAAACTTTGCACTAGGCTTCTTCTGGTTAAAACCAAAGATTCATTCTCTTAATCAAATAAACAGTATATACAAGGCAGACAGTAGATTACCTTCTACCATCCATGAATCGTTGTAGGACCTGATCAGGGTCACCTTGCAAGCTGTTCTTGCTTCCACGTCCTTGCTGGATGAGTTCAAGTCTTTTTAGCCTCTCCTCATTCTTATTTGCTACTTCATCCACATTAAAACTTGTGACAGAATTTAAAGAGAAACCACCAGGGGTTGGAGGCTTGTAAGTGTCATGAGGCTGAAAAATAAACATTAAGTGCCATTTTGTTGCATACTCTGCTATGAATGGTTTAAATTCAAAGTTTCCTTTTGCCTTCGCCAGTTTAAAAAGGGAAACTAAGTTAATTCTTCATTAAAACAACAAAAAGGAGTAATAATAGTCTGAGGGAGACAACCTGGTATCAAAATAAGAGGGAAGGTTGTTTCATCTTGGTGGGGAGTAATTTTAGGTCTGAATTGCTGAAGGCATTTTCATACCACCTTGATAGCTATAGCAAAGTTGGAAGCCAGAGAACTCCTCTCATAGTCTGGTTACTTTGCAAGGTTTTGGCAAGTAAGTTCATCATAAATTTGAGACATAACTAGGAAATGATAACTATTAACTGAGACACCCAAAACACAACTTTCCAGCAACACCTGCCCACATTAAAAACACAAGCCAAATTTTAGACCATAAACTGAAAGACAGTAAGGACTCTTGTGACAGTGCATCTGCAAAGTTCCAGGGATAGCTGTTTTTCTTTGGCCACTATTGGCTCACTGAACTGTTTGTTAGATCCATGTGTGAAATCCAGAAAACATTTTTTTAAGGGTGAAAATGAAATTTGTCACACCCAAATCTAACCCAGGTTTGAATGACACTTTGTTCTATCAATTTATGACATGAAAATCAGCAACCTTTAGATACAGTCACCCTCTGGCAAATTAGCTGTCACAGGGAAACCTGTGATTGGCACTTGGGAAAACATGACAAGCTTTAAACTTTCTTACTCTAGGATTTCTTGCCATTTCTTCAAGTTGCTTCCATCTCCGTCTTTCTCTGGCAGATGATTGCCTTGGCCTGGATGATACCATTTGTTCTATTGGAAGCAGTTGCTTTGGGTCATCAACAGCAAGGAATTGACTTTCTGATTCCAAAAGAGAGTCACGACTTGGTGGACGTCTTGCCAACTATAAAAAGAGAAACAAGATGGTGCAATAAGTAATAGGAGGAGACTTCTATCAGCTTTGGTATCCATGGTATGATTAAAAGAAGACAGCTATTTAATGGAAAAATCTCATTCTCCACATGAATCACGCTTATTTGTTTTTCTTTAGGTTTGGTTTCTCAATGACATCAATCTCTTAGGAAATGATTGCAGTTTTCTGGTTTGCCCTCACAGCTTTAAAACAATACTATTACTTATTAGTGGCAAATTGGTGCATGTAAAGAAATACGATTATCACTCTAAGGCATGGTTGGATTCTGTCAATGAGAATTACCCAATATAGCAAAGCTAAATCTGAATACTGTGCATTTAGCTTCTGTCAGATAATAAGATAAGGGAAAAATTTAAATGAAAGAAACTTACTTGGTAAGGTTGTCCACCTCTAGGAGACTGTTTGTTACTTTTGCTGGGATCTATTAACAATACATTAATTGTCAGTCAGAATGACTGTCAACTGAAGACACTACTAGATGCAGTAATACGATTTAATGATATTTAAACAGGAAGCTCTCTCACCCGTAGGTGATCTACAGAGAAGTCCTAATCCAAAATAACATGAAATTGTTAAAAGTAAATAAATAAATTGTTAAAAGTAATTGTAGATATTAAAAAAGTACAAAAGTAAGCTATAGATTAAAAGATTTTAAAAAAATTATTCCTAAACTGACATATAGTGCCAGAGTTCTTCAAGTCACTGTCCAAGGCATTACAGTCTTGGTACATATACATGCCTACTCAATCTCACACTAGGGATGTAAAATTAAGGTCTCAAAAAAAAATTGATCTCAACCCAGCTCACACTCCCCTACCCCTTTACATCCTCACATAAGAATGCATATTCTCCATACTGTTCTTTTTACATTTCCTTAGGTGTTGCTAAGGAGTATTTGTTAAACAACCAGTAGCTTCTTTCGTTGATTATCACTTCTTTCATTCTTGTAATCTAAATGTTTAATTCAAGGGTGGTATGGTAAGGAGAAATTAGATTCTAGTCACTCTTTGGAGCCAAAGGGTTAACCAATCTCTCATTCTTTGAAACATTTTAAATTGTTATAGTATCAAAATTAGCCAACACATTTTCAAAGGAGAAAAATTCTATTAATATATTGATGCAAATCTGTGTTTCTCTTCCAAAAATCTAAAATAAAAGTGAGGCACAACTAAGATGACATTATTGCTATGTGAAAATCAGCATTTTGTTATTCACTCACTTGATCTCAATGCTGCAAGTTTGCCTTCTTGTTCTCTATAGATGAAACACAAAAAATGAATTAACACTTTATCAACTATGAATAAATGTCTTTCAAACTCGTGCATTTATTAGTCTCTAGTGTTTGTATCTGCTGTTCTGCCACCTGTAATCAGCTCTAAAGACCAGTTCGATGAACTCATCATTAGCATTGTAATCTTTACACTGTCAATGCTAACCTGAGATAGGCCTGTTGTTGAAGATCTAACACACTGCCAGTGGACACTGGATCTGGAAACTTGCTTCTAAATTCCCCAGCAAGAGAAGATGTTTCTAAACACCAGAAAGATAAATAAATTTATGCATAATAAGTAGGCAAGAAAAAACATCAATTGACTCTCTGACTTTCATTTTATCATTACCTCACTACACTTTGTAACCTGCAATTATCTAGAACACACACACTAGTTAATTGGATGCTATGTAATAAAGAACAATTTTAATTTACCTTCATATTTCATCCTGTTAAACTCATCAGCTGCTGAAAATCCCTGTAAAAAGAGAAAAAAAATTTTTTTAGTTATGAAAAAGTCATCAAATGATATTTTTTTCCAAAGAAAAAACTACACATAAGTTTCATCTATGGTTACCATCATAATTATATTAACCCCTTAAAACCCTAGGAGTGACCAGCATCTAGTTTCTCCTTACAGTAATACTGCTAAACCATTTATTAAGATCATGAGAATAAGGGAAATGATTGCCAACCTAAGAAACATTTATCCTTAATTGAATTCTCCTCGTCCGTATCAAGAGAAACACACGGAGAAGAGTATGGAGAAATTATAGATACTGATGTTCAGGTGTAAAGGGTTAATAGTTATATATATCATACCTCAGTATCTTTCTTTACAACAGCAGTTTTGTTGGCAAGAGCCCTGTCAAAGACATCAACATCCCTTCTAACTCTAAGAAGATGAAACAGCACAATAACATTGAAAAGAAAGAAATAATAAAAATGATTTGCTTCAGAATATCTTCCTTATAATGTTACTATCTACCAGTTGCATGTTGATCACTTCAAGGACTTAAAGGTATAACCATATGTGTAATTGAAGGAAAAGAATAAACTTGCACATGTTTAATAATTAATTAGTGAATCTAACATTGGTATACCTTCTACTTTCAAGGTCTTCAGGAACTCTCTGCATCTCAGAGTAACTTTTCTGTGACAACAGGAAAAGCATATTTCAAAACATGCATTTTTCTCATTAATGACATAAGTATACTCAGTACAAAAAAAAAATCCATAATGCTACCAGCAGAATGGAAGATTCAATAAACCTTTATACAGCAACAACGAAATAAAGTACAACCTCCAGTTCTGATAAGAATAACTCTGATCACCATTAATAGTAGCTTTAAATTTAGTTTTTGCTTGCAATGTATTAATGTAGGTCTTACTGATACAGGCTAGAAAGAGTGTCAATTTAATTTACCAAAATATTATGGAGGAAGAAGTTTTTTGTCTTGTCATGAGCATGGGACAAAGAAAAAATTCTGTGTCTCCATGAGGAAATGAACCTCAGACCTTCAGCAAGTGCACTCCGTTGCTCCATTGCTAAGACACAGATACTCTGTTGTGAGCGAGGTCTATTAGGAGGTTCATATGACACATGTCCTGCATACTGCTAGGATCAGCAATGTTGATAGCATCATGTTTGTTGAATTTCATAGATTTAATAGATTTTTTATTTACAAATATAATGGTTTCCAACAGAGACACACATCTTCAAAATCGTACAAACACAACTGTGTGGCACATACAGGTGTACTTCAAGTTAAACAGGGAAAAAAAGAATGACAATAAATCATACCACAGCCGTAGAATGATCCATTTGCTGCTGCACTCTTTTCTCTTCATTTTTAAGCTGTTGCCTGAGTGCTGTCAGCTGACTCAGGACATCTCTATCTGGTGCATCTCTCCTGACAGGTTCTTTGAGAAAATAAAATTAAACTTTAACTGAAGAAGCTCTTGATTGCTAAACAAATTCTCCATGTCAGTTCCATATGAAATGTAAAGAAAATTGTACAAAGAATCTGTAGACCCACGTTAGGGTGTTTAGGGTTAAAAACAATTTTGATCTGAAATTAAGTAAATAAAATTCATACCTGGCCCTCTTCTGGCCTGCATTGGAGGGGGAGTAGATCCTGCAACATACCCTAAATCCATAAAATAATGATGCAAATTTAATATGTTATAAGATCCATTGATTGCTACTGATAGCCCTAGGAGACATTTTCAAATTTTTAACTTCGAAAAAAAAAAAAATTAAAATTGAATTTAAAGTGAAGTCTGCTCAACAAGAAAAACATTTGAAGGCTCCATTCTCTTATGAACATAACCCTTTCCTAAACACTTTGCAGCAAGAATTACATTAAATTTTTTTTCATAATATGCATCTATTTCTTCTCACCATTTGCATTTTGTGGTGTCTGTTTGTTAGCTATTGCTGGAATTGGAGGTGATGATGACCTGAAGTTAGCTGTAACATCACCATCCCCCTAAAGGAAGGAAAGACAGAACATTCTTTTAAGGTATGACAACAAAACACAATTTCTCCTTGCTACCAACTTTCTTTACACAGCAATAATTTTGAATTTGAATATTACTCAAACAAGGAAAAGAAGATGGAGTGTTCAGCTTCAGTGAAACATTTCATCAAAAGGGATCAAAAGTGTGCTAACCTAAACCTATGTTCTTTTCACAAGCAAATTAAGGTACAGAAAATTCTCAAAATGCTTCAGACATTCTACCTTACCTGGACCCACATCTCCAGGGAAATTCAACAAGCAGACAAAGTTGTTACAAAATATTAGTTAAGGCCATTGATAAACAATGTTAAAAGTTAACATTAATAACATTGAAACACAGCCTTTTCCAGCTTAATTGTACATACCTCCATTCTTTTGAGCACAGTGGGGATGGGAGGTGAACTGCTTCTTTCTTGTGTTGAGGATTCCTGACATTGAAAGGGAGATACATATATATATCTTTCAGCCTGTGAGCATCAGTATGCAAGAGTGCGAGAGATTTCAACCTTTTACCCTTCATATACAAGTATGAATTCCCTGAAAACAACTAAAGAACAAGAAACCCATGGCTTTCTCAGCCATTTTATAGCCACTGACTTTAGATTTATTAGGTTTACTTTAAGGAGTAACTATAAATTGATTTTTGATATTCATCCAGGATTCAATTAGTTTGGATTTACTTTGCAATAGAAAACTTTTGCCACCCTCTAAACTAATCAGATGCAGCACCAAAACCAATCACAATCTAGTCACCTGATTTTTCCCACACTTCAGGCAGTATCTTGTTTTTACCGTGGATTCTCCCTGGCTCTATACAGTATTTTCCATTGCCCTATTTCACTATTGGGTTTACTTTGGTTTTTCCATAAAGACACTCAATCTAAAAGCACTCTTTGACACAAGTTCCCTAAAATACTGCTAGTTACATTGTAACAAAACAACAAATGATACTCACACCCACCTGACCAGCAGCTTTTTTGGCTGCTAATTCAGTATCAAGTTTTCTCTTGAGCTCTGCTTGCCTCTGTTCCTCCATCTCTTTCTTCTTCTTCTCTGCTTCTCTTTTCTTTGCCTCTTGAGCTTCCTTAATCTGTTCATTCTTCAATCTTGCCTACAGCAAAAAAATGTTTTAAATTAGCATTCACGATAGGCTGAGCAGCTGAATCCATCACAGTTGGTAAAGGCTCATGATTTATTACAAAGTGACCTTAATAATTAGTTTTAAAATTTATTCAATCATTAGAAGCAGATACTGCACATTTGAGTACCTCCTCTTCTTTCTTTCGAGTTTTTTCTTGCTCTTCCTCAAAATCTTTCTGCATCTTTAGCCTTTCATCTGCTATTCTTTTTTCCTAAAGGAAATATGAATTATTTAAAAATCGTGTGTCCCACAAATCAAACAATGAGAATAAAGAAAACAATCAAGGACGAGATATTGTCTCCAAAAAAAAAAAACCAACAGATTCTCAGGGAAGGCCAACGAGAAATTGTATAATTTTCAGAAACAAAAATTGACTTGACAAGTGAAAGGGTTAATTAAAAATTGACTTTCAAGATTCAGGAGAAAGAAGGATCCTGAGAAGTTGATATATTTAAATAGTTATAAGTCAAAACAAAAAGAAAAGCATAAACTGCTTGCATTTTACAACATGTGAGGGTTTTTAACAACTGGGGAAAAATAATATTTTTAGCGGATTATTGATGATGACTATTTATTCTATTTATTAAATTATATCCTACCAATTCTTCTTCCTCTCGTTTTATTTTCTCAAGTTCTTCCTTTTTCTTTTTCTCCTTTTCTTCAACCTATAAATTGAAAATAGAGGTGAAAATATACTTTCATATCCACCTTCAGGCACTGCTGCTCACAAAATTAAAACTAGACATTATTGTGCACTTAATTACACTGTCATAGTTGTAATTAAAAGTACCTGTTTTCTGAGATGCTCTTGGTACTCCAGTTTGGCTGCTCTTTTGAGATCATCCTTGTAACAAAAGAAATATAAACATCTTGAGATCAGCCCTGAAGTACACCTAACCCAATACACCATAACATCATCTGTTCTCATAACCTATTTACATGATAGCTTATTAAAATTGCAAGGAGAAGTAACATGTTAATCACTTCTAGGAGTAAAAGGGTTAAAAGATTCCTTGAACAGCAGCTGTACACATTCTCAACTCACAAAGATAAACAGCATGAAGGAATATAATCATGGCACACTTTTCTGAGAGAGTGACATTTAGCAGGCATCCATAATATCCACAGCAGGACAAAGTTTCAATATTGAAAAGAGATTTGCTATGTATTCATGGAATTCTTATGTATATAGGTATGTTCCTACCTGTGGCTGAGCTTCCTTGAGGGGATCAGACCTTCCAAATGTTGTCCTTGGTCCATTTCCAGATAAGTCTAGTGAACAATAAAAATAGCATGGATGAAAGAAACTGCACACAGTTAGGTGAAATTACCAAATCGACCACAATTTTTCATTGTCTATACCCTTATTGATCATTGAAATGACGTCAACAATGTTCAAAACTTAAGTGAAACCATGAGGGGCAGCCAAGAGGTTTCACTGTAAAGTCACTGTCCCCATTTCAGAAATTTTGAGTGCCATGTTTTCTCCAACATAGAAAGGATTGCTGGGTGTTGAATTACATTTCATGCCATCTTTATTATCGATAACTTTATTGATGATCATGTTTCTTGACCAATGAGTGCATGGGAATTTCTACTGACAGTACCTGTTAATTAGCTGTATCATTCATAGCTAGAACAGCCAATCACTCAGTTACTACAGGCATAACTCAACACATGATATTTTTTAATCTGAAGGTAGTAACAATTAATTACAGTGCTAGACCTATGCTATGACAAGCAAACTAAGAGGAATAGTAGGATTGTTAATATGTTTTCATTTGCCAAGAGTGGACTTACCATTTCCTCAGTCTTTGGGTTAAACTTAACACCATTAATTTATACCCATTCAATTACACAAAATGTATATTTTTCAAACATTCATAGGCACTGCAGTTCAAGTAGCCAAGCTGCTAGAGAAACAAACTAGCAGAGGATTTGGTCTGGGCCCTGACTCATTTTTGTGCTGCATCACTTATGAGACCATTATTACAGGCTACATGTACCTCATGTTTCCAAAACTGTGGCTTGTCTTAGTTTGGAATTTAAAAATAAAATTTAAAAAAAATACCTGTAGCTGGTGCTGGACTGGTCTGAATGTTCCCTCTTTGTCTTGGGGATAAGTAAGGAACACTAGGTGCTGATAAATCAAATCTGGTCTCTACTGGAGGCGGTTGTTCCCGAGGGCTGACATTTATTCCTTCATCATTATACTGCTTTAAAGTACGTAAGTTTGCTAGAAAAAGGAATATAGCATCTCAGTGTAATAAACCAACTTCTAACAGCCTTTCTATTATGAAATAGTGAGCTGACTGGGGTAAATATGACTGAATAAATGCCCATGACCACTCCTCTATCATTGTTTCACTTCAATTAATTTACAACTGTGTTCTAGTAGAGCCTTGTATCTGGAAGCATTTCAAGACACACTTTTAGAGGTGGGCACCTCAGAGAAAAGAGCTTTAAGGCACCTAACAATTCTTTCTCAAAAGGAAGTTTTGCCAGAAGAAAAGCTGGACAGGTTGAAGATAAGAAAAAGTGCAATCCTTATGCTCTTCTGTTTGTGGGTTGGGTTGGGTATAAAGTTAACGACCCTTCCACACAAAACTGGCTGTAACAGATAACAAGGTTTTGTGTGATTTTTTAGTAACAAGTAAAAAGACACTTAGTCTGACAGATACCATCACATCTAGTTACCACCTCTACAGGCTCCAATTAAATTACCAGCTTACCAACAAGTTGTCCTCCAGAATCTCTTATGGGTGCACCAGCTCCACCCTTACCCCAAGGATTGTAATTAGCTGCTTCTTGTTCAATCTTCCTGTCATATCTGATAAACCAAAAACATTTGCCTAAACATATAAATTATTTCCAAGATTAACAAGTCACACTCAGATTTCTAAAACTAAGATTTGAACCCAGAATTTCAGTGCTGCCTGACCTCTCCTTTTCCTCCTTTTCTTTTCGCTTCTTCACTTCTCTTTCCTGCATCTAAAAGTAAAGGAAATTCTTAAATATTGCCACACAGTCTCTTGCTTTTAAGACCTTTTGGCTAAAGGTCTCCCTTTCATAGGGCCATCTAAATGTTTTCAGTAAGTTTCACACTGATGCGAGGTGACAAATTTGAGTTTCTAAGTTATGTTCTTGTTTTTGTTACATTTGTGAAATCTACCTTTAGTTAGAGCTGGGAGTTGGCAAGTATTAGACCAAGTCATGATTGGGTTTCAACCAGCCTCACATCTGATTGAAAAATAGAGGGTTGAAAAGCCTAAGAATTACCACCTTTAATATGTAAGGGAAACACCTACACATGGGTACAGTGAATAACTCCTCCTAAAGGTATCCGAGTTTCCCCAGAATGAATAAATAAGTAACCCTTTAATGTCTGAGGGTGACAGGCATCTAATTTCTCACAACAGTATCACCCCTGAATCAAACATCAAGGTCATAAGGATAAAGGAAATGGTTGCAAGGTCAAGAGGCTCTCAAATATTATGCAAATTCTCTCGGTAAGAACCATCTTAGGTAGTGCACACAGAACAGTATGGAGAACCTGTAAACTGATGATAGGGTGTTAAGGGTTAAGGGTATTGCACTTTCCCCTGGGATGGTATGTCGCAAAGGTTACCTGCCAGCATTTCCTCATGTTAACCTGACTGTTCATCAGTACCAATTCCTTGGTGAAGAGGCACACTACTGTTCTAAGTTTCACTTATTGATATCAATATGTATATTCTTGACACTGTTCTCCACATGTTTCTTATTTTACTTATTGAGAGAATTTTTTCAAACATCGAGACATTTCATACTTGGCGATCATTTCATTCATTCTTATGATCTGTACATTTGATCAGACAGTGATATTGTTAGGAGAAATAAGATGCTGGTCACTATTGGGACTTACGGGGTTAAAAAGACAAATATTGACCCATGGCTTTCAGGAACCAGAATTTAATACTCTAAGCCACAACATCTCCCACTTCATTTCTAGCCCTGACTGGACAAAACAGTTTCACAAGTAAAATACCTGTCTCTTTAACTCTTCTTGATAGGCTTGCTGAGCAGCTTTTTTCTTGTCTACCAATGCTGGATCATCACTGCCTGCTCCAAAACTACTATAACCCCCTGGGGGCTGCAGACGGGAGTGAGGGCTTAACTCACCCTCATTCCCCTGGGGAAAGGATGATGGAGCAGGAGTGGTGTAACCTGTAACAATAACTCAGATTAGTGAAAAATAATTGCTTATCAGCATACCGGTACTCAAGAAAAAGTGATACGACTCCAAAATAATCATTTGGAATAATAGAATAATTACAGTACTCAAAAGATGGCCTAGTGTGCTCCGAGTGAGTAGTCTTAAACAGCACGTTCAAAATAAATTAAGACATAAAAAATTTCTACACTTGTATATTTGACTTGTGATTCAATCAATAATATTTGAATTCACAACTGAAGACTAATGAAATGAATCAAATCATTATTATTAAGTGGATCACACAATTTCTACACCATAGACATTGCATTCCAATACCTTGGTCTCTTCTTGAATGTGTATCCCTAGTTTGAGCACCTGCATCATAAATTCAAAGCAATATCAAAATAATATAAATTTTTTTTCACATTATGTTGCTTTTTAATATATACCACACACTCAGTCAAGTGAATAGTGCTTTTCCCACGTGCTGATTGGCTAGCTCGGAAATGAATAGCAAATACTATTCACCTATAAGCAGCCTATGACACAAAAATGCACACAAGAGTTTAATTTCCAACCATTTTTTGGTAGATTGAAAGAAATAAACTAATTTGTTTGTATCTGTGTGGTATATACCAAAACAACTATTCCCTGAATGAAAGAGGTGGATATTACCTCACTAATTTGCAGCTAAGTAAATATTCACTACTATTCACCTCCACTTTGGCAAATAATTATTAATTAACAAATTGCATTCCCATTTATCACCAAAATAGACTGAGACGTGTTATATGCCATTTGCCACATAAAATAGCGATAACCCAATTCATTCCCAATAACAACTCCTAAAAATATGAAGATTTACTCAAAAAAAGACCTAAATTACCTTCAGACATTCCACCATCCAGCTTTAGGCCTCCCCTGTTTGCTTGACCTCTTCTGGAATCCAAAGGCCCATTCAATGAAGGGGCTTGGGGAGCCCCCATTTCTAGAGACCCATAATAGTAGTAGGGGTCATCATAAGGATTTGAGTGAATCGCAGGGTGAGGAGGAGGTCTGGAACTAGGTCCATAGTTGGCTAGGGATGTGTCATAGCCTTGTGATTGAGGAGGATGTGATCTTCTATTGGTATTTGGGGGGGTTCTGTCAAGCTGAAAGAAAAATTGATGTTTTAAAACTCTAGAACTAATTAAAAATGAATAAACTAGATATATGTTTTTCCCCTTGGGCAATTCAAAAGTTGGGTTAGGTTCCTGAATTTACAACCATGTCCATCTGAACAAATAACATTCTCATGATTTGAAGCTAGTTAAGTATCTGTTGTCGGTAACGGTTGGAATTCAGGTTGACCCTTTAAGCTGCAAGATCCAAATAGTATTCAAGAGAACACCCTCTAGCTGTTAAGCTTGTTTGTTATCTTTACCTGTTTGCAATAAACATATTGGAATTGCAAAGAGAAGTTACATGTAAATCACTTCTAAGGATTAAAGGATTAGCATGATTTCAAACTAGATTAACTGCATTTTTCTTGGTTTAAGAATTTGAGTCATTCATTGAGAAAAATGCAAATTAAAACAAATTAGTTGTAACACATCCATTGTACATGCCATTGTATTCAGGAAAAAAAACAAGGAAGAGGGAATGATTACAACAACTTATATCAACAGCAATTGTAGAGGAACAATGCAAAAACTGAAATAAAGACAATAATAACCTGTGAGTTCACTGGCCCACTGTCATTTTCCTCAACTCCCAAATGAAGCAGTTTTTCTCTGAAAATGAAACATAGAATCATGGATCTAGAAACAATAAATCACTGAGAAATAAAAAGCTTCCCTGTATCTTTGGTTCCAGAAACTATGCACATGACATACATCTCTATATGGATCAACCTTTCACCTTTAGCTGCTGATAAATACATTCTTTGAAAAGTATTATAATTTCAGTCAACAAATTCATTGCACTCCCAGTGGATAGAGGAGTCTAGTTTAAAACCCTGTGCAAGTCACTGTGTTGTGACTTTGAGCAAGACACAAGCCTTACAGAGTGCTTCTTCCTATCCCAATTAAACAGTTAACCCTTTAACTCCCATGAGTGACCAAGACAGAATTTCTCCTCACAATCAGATTCAATGTCAATATCAGGCAGGCAAGTGATGAGAATAAAGGAAAATAGCCATAGGAAGATTATTAGTTAATCCAATACCAAATTCTCTGAATAAAATCTAAAGAATTGTATGGCAGACAGTAAGGAGAATTGCTAATAAGATCTTGGGAGTGAAAGGGTTGAGGAATCTTCACAAACTGTTGTGTAACTGCCTACTTTGACTTCCATTTAGTCCAGGAGAGAGAAGGGAGGGTAACCCAACTCCACCTTAGCTTGCTTCATGCCAAGGAAACTATGTTATGCACCTGCAGCAATGTACCACTCCAGTCATGACACTTTAATCTAACAAGAGTGCAAGATACCTTTTTTTGATGTTTGCCTGCTCTTGCATTTGTTGTTGCAGCTCCCTCTTATACTGCTCCTGTTTCTTGGCCTTGTCTACCTTTGATTCCTGCGAACCTGAAGTTACCAAACAACCTTGTTTATCACTTGATCCACTTTTTGTTGTAGTGAAAGCATACAAAGGATTTAAATAATATTTGATATAACTGTATGGCTAGCTCTGTGAATATCCAAGATGAGGCTGAGATGTGGATTGCAATTAACATCAGAAGTGACTAAATGTGAGATAAACAATTATTTTTCATAATACTTACCAGGATTAGTGTTAATATTCATCAGTCTTCAATAATTTTTTCACAAAACAGCAATTGAAACTCTTCTCTTATTTTAATATCAGGCAGTTTACCTCCAATAATTCCAGCTCCTTCAAGAGGGGCTGAATGTGACCTGATACCAGTGTCTGTTTTGCTTCTCTGGAGTGTTTCATCTGGTGGAGGTTCTCTAAAAGGCAAAAAGGGTAACATGCTGTTTTTATAGAACAAGAATTCAATTTAAGAAGCTAAAAGAAATGCTAGGCATCAACAGTCTTTAAACTGAGGTGCACTGCACAGCCAACTAGGCTGTCACACATCAACATCCTGGTCAGTCAAACTAAAAACAATTCTTCAGGGTAGTGCTCTAATTGAATAAGAAAGTATCAATCATTTATTGTGCCTGGAAATTCATAAAAAACTAACACAAATCAATACAACTGAATTTCAATAGAATGCTAACCTAATAACCCTCACAATATGTTGGGAGAACAACAAAAAACCTTGTAAATCCCAGGATGAGGACAAGTGATTTATCATCATTCCCCAATATCCCACATAGGTTACTATGCCACAAAACTAATTACAACTTTAGTTAGTCTTTTACTTGAATTCTAACATGACATAAGACAATCATATCAAAAAACTACAGAGTAAAAAGTCACTGTGATAGTTTTGAGTAATTACTACATGACAATTGTTTGAAGTATTGCGACAAATGCATTGCAAGTCATTTATTTACATTACTTAGATATTAAGTATTAGCTCAGCACTCCAACCAGAGTAACTATAGGTTGAACTTAACACATTAACACAGTTACCTTTCTGGCAGATGAGCACTATTTCTCCTCTGTGGTCTTTTTCCTCTTCTTTTCACCTAACCACACAAGAAGGTAATGTGTTGTGTTCAGTACATGTCCAGAAATGCACGCAGTAAAGAAAATGGCAGATTTTACAAAATTTCATCAAACCAGGTGAATGTTCATGGATTTGAAGATTTTGGCAAATTTTAGTCAGAATTGATAGTTTTGATGAATTTTAGTCAAACATGTTCAAGCAAAAACAGCTTGGTTTGATTTGTCACTGCATGCATCATATTTCGCAGAGAGGTTAGGAATTAAACTGATAAAAGAAAATAAAAACCAATTAAAAATACAAACCCAGTCTAAAAGTTCCTCTTCTTCATCTTCATCATCGTAATAATCAAGTTTTCTTCTAGGCTTGACCCATGCACTAAGAATGAGATAAAACCCAATTAAATGAGGTATCCCCAACCTTTTACACCCTAACATGAGTGTGTATATTCTCCTTACTACTCTCTCTACTATCTCTGATATGCTGACAAGGAGAATTTGTTTAACAATCAAGAGCATTTGATTCTACATTTGATTCTAGGGTAGTACCATCAGGAGAAATAAGAAGCCAGTCACTGCAGAGAGTTAAAAGACCGAGGCTTAGGTAGTAATTTGGAATATTTCTCTTTTACTAAATAGGATCTATAAAAAAAAATAGTAAAATCCTAACACTGGAAAAATCATAGCAACAAATTACTTGCAGGTACTATAATTTCAAGGTAATTCATGACTGGCAGTAACAAAAAGACCTTACTCATTATCCAAATCTTCATCACCATGAAAACGAACACGCCTAGAGGAATCAAACAGAAAGGAAATCAGCTTATGAGAATGGGAATGGAAATTAAGCAATGGACATTACACAAGGTGGCTTTTCTTGTCCACTGTTTCCAAGTCAAATTGGAATTTGAAATGTTTTTACCACGGTAGGATGGACCCAGAGAAAAACCCTCAAAGCAAGGACAAGAACCAACAACAAATTCAACTCACATGTGATGCCATGTCCATGCAGGAATGGAAACCCAGGTCATAGTGGTGGGGGACAAGTGCTCTAACTTACTACTTTGCCATCCCTACTCCCTAACTATCAATCCTAAGAGAGACTTTTCATGATATGCACACTTCTCTACCACCAAAAAACACAACAACAGCAACAACAACAACAAATTGAGCATGTTACTGAATATCATTATAATTTTACCAGTGACTATTTACCTCCCAATATCATGGTGCTTATTTCAAATTGTAAAATGGCTATTAAGCAACATAACTTTATCTTACTTTGATTCAAAGCTTTTCTCCCTCCTAGCTCTTGGTCGATTCCTACTGAAACTCTGTGAGACCGTAAAAAATAGTGTGAATAAAATAGAATTTAATCAAATTCATACAGTTGACGTTGTTTATATCACAATTGTGACCATCACACAACTGAACAGTACATGCTTGAAATCTAAACCAAACAAATTTAGTATCTTACATCATAATCATCATCATCATCATATCTCCGACTAAGATATCCATCACTTCTTGAGTTCTGTTTATACTGTGGAGCATTCAGTCTCATGGGCCTGAAGGAGACAGAGGGTAAATGATAAGGTTTAATTAAATGAACTAATTAATAATGTGACACCTACATATTAAGCAACTCTTGCACATCTGCTCTCCAAGCAACCCCTGCCCTTCATATCTCTATGGGCCCATGCTGATATAAACTAACTGTTAATTGAGGTAGGTATTGCAGCAGCATGTACTGAAGGAAACTTAAAATTTCTGAACTTACCTTTCTGGTCCAGAATCATAGTCATCAAAACCTCTGTAACACCAAAGAGAAAGGTAAAAATTGTTTTAATACCCATGACCAATAAAAAAAATCTTGGTTTTTGTAATCAAACCCAAAACAGAATTATGCAGAGAATCACAATGAAGAGTAAGTAAGAGCTCACACCTATATCTTCTCTCTTGGGCACGCTTTCTTTGTAAGATATCTTCATAGGACTCAAACAAGTTGCTTGGTTGTCTGTTTTCCCCTAGAATGAAGCCAATAAAAAGTCTAAGCATGGGTGTGTTAATTTACCACAAGGGTTTGACCCTTTAACCCCCAGAAGTGATCAAAAAATAACTTCTCCCTACAATATCCATGCACTATCCACTATATCTAGTGGAAGTTATTATCTTAATCTAGCACCAAATTCTCACAACTTATTTCCAAGGAAATGTGAGACAGTTAGAGGGGAGAATTAACTATCAGATCTTAGGAGTTAGAGGATTAAATTAACTTTTTCAATGAGCAACTGCCAAAGGTGAAATAGGTGGCAATAAGAGCTTGCTTGCAGGCTAAACAAACTGCAATGAGAGGTCTTACAGGCAGTAATGACCACCAGTAATGGCTTTGATTGACATCTCTATTAATTACCAATACCTAGAACTGGTTAGAGAATTTCTATTTTCTAGAGAATTACATAAATTATCTTACCACTTATCTTTAGCATTTCTTCATTTTTAAAAGAATGTACCTTATTTTTTGTTTAAGAGAACAAAAGCTATTAAATAGTTACTTCTGTTGGCAAATCAGACTTTTACCTCTGTCTTTGACATCATGGGCTTTTTCCAAATCCTGTGAAGGCAAAACCATAGTAAGAACCAAACATATGCTCATCACTCTAGCCTTATATATATATCTATACAGCTGTGAGCAGTTCATGATATCAAATAGTTCCAAATAGTTTAGAGCAATCACTCAGATGCAAGTATTTAGGGAAATATTAATTTTAAAAATATCATTTACATCATAGTTTTCTTTTCCTCTTCTTCTGTTTTTGTGGGAGTCATCATCATTCCTGTATTCATCCCTCCTTGTTTGGGACTAAGGAAATGAGACAAATGATAACTTGAGATAAATTTAATTTGTTAAAATTGTGAGAATCACAAAATTACAATCATTTTTCAAAAAATTCATTTTGCTGTTTGTGATACAAAGTAAGTAATAATTAACAAGCAAGAAGCTTGCCATCTAAACTCTTCTGACGCAATTGCTACCAAATCTTTGAACAAAATTTTATTTCAGCACTTTAAATTGTTTCCATTTTGTGAATGTGGGGGGTATAATTGTGTAAGAAGACTTTTCCAAATAAAAATTTTGGTAAAATTATTATTTGTAATAATTGCAGTAAATTCAATGCTCTAATCAATAAATTCCTGACATCTTGTCAAATTGAAGCAGTATTTATCGTCTCGATATTGATAAAGATATCATGCAACAAAACTTTTGAATTCTTTCAATCATAATAGGGAATAAGTGGTGCTAAATGACATACATAAGTATGTGAAAGCTTTCATAATTAAAAGCCCGATGTCAAGGTAAATAAGACATAATCACTTAGGCAACACAATGAGCCCACAAATATCTAAACCTCTGTTTTATCAAAGCGAAATAATTATCACCAGTTTACAACAACTAAATTTAAAAGCTCACAATCTTTACCAAAAGGTGAAGCCAGCTGTCATGAAAGTTTAGTTTTCCACCAAGAAGCCCAAACCTTTCAACAGTTCGGCAAGTTTCCTTTAACAACTCCAACTGAGCCCAGTCCATGAAATGAATGCTTCAATTTTTCTCCCCCTTTTCATTTTAACAATTCAGTCTAAGACTAAAGTTACCATGATTGTCCAATGTCCATAAATATAAATAACAAACTGACTTTAAAAGCCATGATTTGATGGTTGAGTTCTTGACTTTTAAACTGGAAAAAACATTTCTTATTTCATCACCAAAATTTATGAATTGAAGCTGAGAATTTTTAAACTTGTAACAATAATCAGTTGAGTTGAAAACTTTTGTCGGTTCTTATTCATTATATACACCACCTGCTAAGGAAAACTGATATTATGCAAATATGTTATGGGGGAGGAATATAATCAAGATTATTAATTATTTAGGTTAGACATTATACTAAATGTGATCAGCTCAATAATATTATTAATTCCCAAATTTAGAGAATCTAATTCACAAAACGTGTGATAAATATGTTAATCAATGAATTCAGCAAAAAACCTTCTAAATCTAATAATTTCTGATATCACATGATAGTCACTGAAACTGTCAGCACCAAATTAACAAATTATACTAAATGTTAGACATTATACTAAATGTGATCAGCTCAATAATATTATTAATTCCCAAATTTAGAGAATCTAATTCACAAAACGTGTGATAAATATGTTAATCAATGAATTCAGCAAAAAACCTTCTAAATCTAATAATTTCTGATATCACATGATAGTCACTGAAACTGTCAGCACCAAATTAACACAAATCCTAACCTCATATTACGTTTTAGAATACCAGTATATCAACAAATTAAAAATAACATTATTCATGGCAAGGGAGGAAATTCTTGTCCATTCTCATAACCAGAAATCTCACAAAATTGGTATTATTTAACACGCTTTCAATATCCAAAACACATTTATAAATAAAATCTTGAAGATCATATTGCTTTTAGGGTGATTGTCAATCAAGTGTCATAAGAACAAAACCAAATTTATAACGATGACCAATCAGACAAAAGGAGAACTGACTAATAAATTGTGTAAAAGACATAACTGACAACAGTTAACAAAATTCATTAAAGATCAGTTGTTTCAGCCAGAAATTAAAAGAAGTAGGGAAACTACAAGAACACTAACCCCCTGTGACTTGTATCCTGGATAAGGGGATGTGTTGGTGTCCAATAAAGCAGGGCTAGCTTTCCCTGTGCTGCGGATGTTTTTCTATGACCAAAACACAATAAACTTAGTCAGTGAAAAAATTTCCACATCTTTAAATTAAGTTACTTGGCTTCTTTATTACATTGAATAATTTGTGCACATGATATAAGATTTTGCTTTTCTACAAATTGTTCAACCATGACCAGTAAATTACTCTGATTTAAATATCACTAATTACATTAGGTTGAAAAATAATCATATTGTTCTGAGGTGATTTAAAATGTCTATCTAAACCCTGTCACTCCACAAAATAACTAGCATGTAATTTCTCCTTTCAATTTCAATACAATATCCAGAAAATGCCCGAAGAAAATACAATAGACAAACCTATCAGCTGAAAGGCGCATCTTGTGGCAACACCAAGTTCACCCAATTGATATTAATTACATAGTAGTTTATGAGAAGAAGTTGGAAAGGAGAGTTCTCAATTTATAATTTCATACACTGCCAGGAACTGTCAGTTGAGTCCCAGAGTAGTCTAGAATTGTGTTGGTTTTACTTTACTTTCGTCCGTGCTAGTTAAGAAAACTTGTTACACATTCTTAACCATCAGACAAAACTTAAACAAAACTTTGTTTTCTGTTTGATTTCTCATTGGTTCCTAGTAACATTTCCCCTCGTTAAACTGGCTGTTGTAGTCACTTAATTCAAAAGCTCTCTATCAGACAAATTGATGCTTACCTCTGCCAAATATTTTCTATAATCCTCTTTCCTCTCTTGACGCAACCTCTGTTGGTGTTTTTCATAACCTCCAAGCTTCAGGCCCCCTACACCATTGTCTTGCTCAGGGGTTGTTACTGAAAAAAGCAATAGTAATAAAATTATTAATGACACTTTATGATAACAATTCTAACAGACAAAAACTACCATTCTAGTCAATGTTAATCTGGTCAATCAGACCAAGCTACTTCAGCCCAGGAGACCTGGGATAAGCTCCATCATCTACGGGTGTACTTCTCATAATCAGACTAAATACTTTAACCCCCAAGATCTGATTGTTAATTCTCCCCTCTAGCTGCTACTCCTTTTCTTGTGAATTAGTCACGAGCATCTGGTGTTAGATCAAGATAACAACTTCTATCTGATATATTTGAGTACTCTCACTACCAGTTTGCTGGATAGCGGACGAATATCATAGGTAAAAGTTACATGCGAATCACTTCTGGGAGTTAAAGGGTTAAATGTCAGATAAGATAATACACATACATGTCATACAGCCATGCAAATGGCTAAAATGCTTATAAATGGCACATTGTTGAAATACATTTTACCTTTAGCCTTTGTCCTTGACTCAGATGCTGGAGAAGGAGCCACTTGGCCATACCTAAATAAAGATGAGATGACACAACTGACAATTGTTTTAATCAAAAAATTTAGAATTAAGTAAATAAACAAAAAAATACACCACAGTGTCTTCCTGCTATTCTTGTTCTAATCTTCTTAGATTTCTGCATGTTTGATAACTACTCTCACTGATAACAACCATTAAGGTGACTCTTCCAATAAAATCAAGATAACAATTTGAAGTGAGCATAACACTGGGAGCCCTACTATTCCAGAGGACATAAATGTTAGCCCTGGATTCCAGAATAATTTTTGTTTTGAGCTAAAAACCCCAACAAAAAGAAACAAGGGTTTCATCTCATTTTTTAGGTTCATGGCATCCTTATGAGAGAAAGTCATGATCAATTATCCTTAATCAATATACAAAAGGAAGTGAGGTCAAAAAGGAACTTTGCAGCCAAAAAAATATTGACTGCAAAGTACTAGAAGAAAAAACCTATTAGACCTAACTATAGGCATGAAGTAGAAGGTAATTGCATCACATTAGTGTCATATGACCAAGTTCAGATTGCAGCTAACAATACCTGTCATCAGGTTTGTATCCTCTCGGACTTGTTCTGCTACGGTCCTATAACAAGATATAAAAATGATTCTGTTGAAAGCTCTCATCTAAATAACAACTCTACATCTATAAATTATTATTGCTCAGCTGAAGGTGACCATATAAAAAAAATACAATCTGGTTTAAGTTAAGAGTAATAAAGAAAGAAAAGAAATGAGAAATATGTTTAATCAGTATGTCATGAACAAGTACATGTTCAGAGTTCTTTTTGTCATTGATTCTCTCATCTTTCAACCCCAGTGTCAAATGTGTAAAATATTGCAAGATAACAATATGATCTTTAGGTTTAGAGGGAACAAAGTAGCAATTGTATTTCCAATTTTCAAGTGTAATTCTAAAATGGTACTTGGTTATAACTACTACATTACTACAGACACCTGGGGAAAAACAACTTATTGTAACTTGCAGTCTGAGAAAATACATTATTTGTTTACCACACAAACAGCTTGTTAAATGCAGCACAAGATGAGCCTGCTAAACAAAGTATCCGGCTGAAAGTGGTTTATCACGTACTTAAACAAAATTTCCATTTCCCCCAAAGTCAATAATTGGTGAGCATTACGTTATTGGTAAAATCATCATTAAAAATTAAGACTATCAGGCACAGTGCCTTCAAACCATTAACGTACAGCTGCAAATGCTTATCGAAAAACAGTTATTGGAAACTTAAAAGTTTAAAAATTGCTCAGAAAACTTAAATAAATTAATTGTCGTCAAAATATCGCTTTTACCTCGTTTTCTTGAGCCCGTAACATTTCGGCCCTTTCCTGTTCAAGCTTCCGCTTCTGAGATTCAATGAAGCTTGACAAGTCCTCTGCCATTGCCGAAAAATATGTTTCTAAAGCATGAAAATTGAATTTGACCAGGACACCAATACCGAAAGTTGTTTGTCGTCAAGTGGACAATAACAATTCACACATGAATTCTCCGCCTTTTTGTCGCATTGTTAGAATACAGCTGAAGACCAGTTAGTAGTTTAACCAGTATGTAAGTGAAAATTCGGTTACCAAAGGGCTAGAAATAGTGAAAGAACTTTAAAATTAGCATTCCAAAGTTGTTAGCGTTGATATCCGCCATGTTTTTAGTTACCATTACCCATAACGACTCTCGGTTGATACAAAGAGCCCGTTGTTGATTGGTTCAAACTTTGACCAATGAACTGAAGTGTTAAGAAACAGGAAAGTCTGGAACAGAGAAACTTCTCTTAAAATAGAGGAGCGACTAAACGCAGAAACATTAAAACACAGCCTACCTGTGAGCGCTCTTTGTGATGGGTACTTCAGAGGATAAGGTCAAGCTCTTGAGCAAGGACCAAATCGAAGCTCCATTTCCCGATGTTGAGGTGGAAGACGAAAATACAAAGGAAGATTCGGGCCATATCTGGAGATTCGTCTGCTATGCCCTGGCGTTCATGATGGTAGTCGGTGTCTTTTTGTCTGCGATCACTTTTCAGAATTCAAGTGCCGACGAGCAATCATTTTCACGAGATGCAGGTTTGTTAATACTTCTGTTTTTTTGATTAACGGGAAAAAATTGAAGCGGAAAGTTATGACTACCTTTCTGATTCTGTCGAGTTGCTCGATCACCTTCCACCTTTTGCTCCTCGCTGCCGCATCTTCAGAGGGGTTAGATCATGTTCCATTTCTAGAGTATCGTTTTTCGAACTGATACGATTTGGGGAACGTTATTTTGAAAAAAACGTTGTTAAAAAGATTTGAAGTCGACTCGATTCTTCAGTTCTGGGTTTCACAGACCATCTGCTTCTCCGATGGGTTCATTTCGAGTTTATTCGAAGTACTTTATTTATTGCCTCATTGCTTTTGATGTGATACCTAGAGGATGCCTTTTCCACGTCTAAAATGGTTTTAAATTCATTTTTCTTTTAAAGTAGCCTGAGTTAAATCGAAGGAACGTGGATCAGCGGAACAAATTTTGATCTTGAACCACAAAAGCTACTTCCAGCTTTACCGTTTGACGCAATTATTTGATGAGAGCTAAAAATAGGGCAATTACTTATAAGAAACGATGAGACGTGACGAGCATAGACCTGTATGTATGATAAGAGGGAGTCTTTGCAGTTTAAACCTGATGACATGCAGATGTTTGCATTGCCTTTTAAAAGCTGTTTAATACTCATTTCTCTCCCCCCATATACACCCAACTACAGACTCGTTGCTTTATGGCCAATGTATAGGTCTGGCTTTTATGGGGTGAGATCTAAATCCTAGATTTTAAATTTTGGGACATTAAAATTGGGGTTACGGTATTTTAGAAGTTATTTATATTCTTTCAGGGTACAAAGCACGTGTCAGACAAATTAGGCCTGGAGAACGCTTTGATGACAGACTCATGCATGACATGAGGATGAGAGAGGAACATCGTCATGCCAAGATGTTTCCTATGTTTAAACCTCCACCTTTACCTGAATCCTCATATGATCCACCTTCAAGATTTGAAAAGGCAAAAACAGGTAAATATTTAAGTCAACAGCAATCAGACTACTTGAAGTCTCTAAATTGAACCTTGAATGCCCTTTTTCTAAATTAAGTTTTTCATCAACATGATGTGCTCCTCATCAGCTTGGGTGGAAAATTTATTTCCTACTGCTGCTTCTCTGTGTGAGTTACTGTAAATTGAATGCTTTTGGTTTCTTGGTGGCCATTTAGATTTAAAATGCAACAGTTTAAAAGTTTTATTTTTCTCTATTTCCTGATATATAGCAAGGTACATTGTGCACAACAGTGACTGGGGATCATTATCAACCATTTCTGTTTCAATGGTTGGAGTACCTTTTGGAGTGGCAATTTCCTTTAGCGATGGCACTGTCACTAACAGCACAGGAGTACCATACTTCTATGTGGCAAAGTTTGACCCTATAGTGAAAAACTTTGAGGCCAACGACCTATCCAGCTTGGCACTGTCGGAGGCACAGAGTGATTACTGCAAAGTTCATAAATGGGATCCTGAAGATCCTCTTTGCTCCAAAGTGACTCTTATTGGAAAGGTAGTCTGTCATCCCTTTTACATCCAGTACTGGTGATCAATACATAAGTTCTCCTCAAAATTTAAGCATATTATCCAGGGAAGAGGTGATAAGAATGAACGTATCTACCAGGTAGAGGTTGTTGTCTTAATAAAACACCAAATTCTCTGAACTGAATCGCAAGGAACTGAATTAAAAGGAAAAATATATCTGCAATAAGAGAGAATTTCTGATCAGTTTTTCAGTCAGAGGTAGCAGGCTATTTCCAAAGGTAACCAGGGTGGTGGCTATAAGACAAAAGCTGTCCAAAATTTTTCATCCAATTCAAACCTGAGACAGATTTTGAAATTGTTGCAGCTTGTCCATGTTGGTCCTGAGGAGGAAAAGTTTGCACTAAATGCCCTCTTTGCTAGACATCCTGTGATGAAAACGTGGCCTAAAGATCATGGTGAGTTCCCAAATATATATGGATGCCTCTTTTTTATTTTTACCTCATTTTGACATCATCTGTAATCTTCTACTGAACAAATGCACAGCAACAGAATCTATTTCTTGAACTGAATATTTTTCTTCCAGGTTGGCAAACGCTGAAGCTTGTAATCACAGACGTGTGGCTTCTCGATTTCTATGGGGGTGCCAATATGGTGCCTGTAAAAGATTACTTTAAGGCTGAGTTGTAAATGAACTCAATCTTTAGAGCAGGATTTCTAAAGCCATAAAATGTTGAAAATTCACTTTTGAAAAGAGTCAGTCACTCTTAATATTATTAGAATAATGATTGAGGAAGTGGCACAGTGTTAGGAATGCTTGCCCCTTCCGGTGTGGCCCACTAAGCTCCTGACTCGGTGTTTCTTGTGGGTTTAGCTTTTTCTGTTTTTTTCTTACCTTCAATGAGATTTCATCAATTTTTTTTAATTTTTACTATGCCACTGTGGCCTGCAAGCAGGCACAAGGCACTATGGGAGAGATTTGCCATAAAAAAAAGTGAACTGGAGCTTATGCTATAGTACTTACACAAGCTTTCATTTATGAAATTGAAACTTACAGCTCAAACCATGGTTCATGGGATAATCATTAGATTTATACACGTAGGTGGGTTTTGATGCTTTTTAACCACAATGCAGACTGTAGAATCGTACTTGTAATTCAACTTTAATATATTAGGTTTTCTCTATGCAGGACAGAAAAGTTTATCATAGGGAAAAGTGTTTGTAATTAAAATTTAAAATAAAGTTTCTGAATTTTAATAGATTGTTAGTTCTTGACTTCAAAGTGTCTTGCTTTATTTTTAAATGCAATACTTTTTTTGTTAATTTTATTTTTTTTGATCCATTAACTGAAATTCTAGGGCTCTCTTGTATGAAACACTTGTTTCTTTCTGAATGGTGTTACTTGATACAATCATACTTTATATGTATGTATGGTAAAGTAAAAGTGTCAGTGGCACAGTAATCAGTTGGAATGTGAGGTGTTAAAATACGACTTAGGTACTTGGCCAGGTTGTAATTGTGTGTTCCTATAGAAGATACGATGGGGCGAAATGGCGGTGTAGAGTTAGCTTCACTATCCTTATGCATTTTAGGAAGGCCGTAAATTCTTGCTGATTGGGAGCCTTTGGGGTAGATGTTGTCATACACCCGGTTGTCGAGATGAGCATTTTTCTTCAATTAATGACCTGGATATCAAACTGGTTTTCTCTTCCTTCAAAATCGGTAACTTTTTGGTGTGAAAGACCCTGTCCCTGACGGGCTCCGTTCACGTGTGGTTTATAAGTTTGTATGCGCTGGCTGTAATGCCTGAAACCTGCCGGCGTTTTTCCACAGGTGTTAGAGAGCACTTAGTCAGTGACAGGGCCTCTCACATTTTCAGGCATCTGAAAGATTCTCCACATTGTCGTGCTTTGTGTTCTACAGATAACTTCCATGTTTTAGATCACACCTCCACCAGCTTTCAGCTTAAGATAAAAGAGGCTATTCATATTCAAAGAGAACAACCATCTTTGAATCAGCAATTACACCATGTAAATCTAAAACTATCTTTTTAACTCTCACACTTTCATGCTTTACCTTTTTTCTTGTTGTCACTATTCATCCTAATTAGCATTGTTCTACTTACTATATAATTCAACTTTCAACGCTTTGTAC